GTTTCACTCCTTAAGGGATCATCATATCATAGGGCATGAAACTGCAAGGCACTATGTTTATTTCTTTCTATCTATCTATCTATCTATCTATCTATCTATCTATAATTCTATTCAGATATATCTATCTCTCTCTCCCTATATATATATATATATATATATATATATATATATATATATATATATTCATTTCATATCTATCTATCTATCTATCTATCTATCTATTCAGATCTATCTATCTCTCTCTCCCCTATATATATATATATATATTTTCATATCTATCTATCTATCTATCTATCTATCTATCTATCTATAATAATTCTATTCAGATCTATCTATCTCTCTCTCCCTATATATATATATATATATATATATATTTCATATCTATCTATCTATCTATCTATCTATCTATCTATCTATCTATCTATATAATTCTATTCAGATCTATCTATCTCTCTCTCCCTATATATATATATATATATATATATATATTTCATATCTATCTATCTATCTATCTATCTATCTATCTATATAATTCTATTCAGATCTATCTATCTCTCTCTCCCTATATATATATATATATATATATATATATATTTATATCTATCTATCTATCTATCTATCTATCTGTTGAAACTTGACTAATGCATGGAATAATAATGCAACACAAAAGGTACTTAGAACAAAATGTATTGAAACAAGAAAGTGTACACAATATTTACATATAGTCTTTTGTATATTCCTGGTAAGACCGTTCCTGGAGAATGTGTTGACTGAGTCGCAGTCGGGCAGAGTCTCTGGTTGAATCTCTTGATTCCTCCCTCTCTTCCCGGTACCAACCATATTTATATGGTCGGTACTCCACTATGCAAATTAGGTGGATCCTACCACAACACTATCACACTCTCTCTCTCTTCCTCGATAACCTAATAGACACAATATTACAACCATTTATTAAGCAGATTAAGAACTACATCAGAGACGATATTCATTTCCTTAGTTTCATACCACAAAATGTAGATCCAGGAACACATATGGCAACTTTTGACATTAGTAGCCTATATAGCAACATACCCCATGAATTAGGTAAACAGGCAATCTGATTCTGGATTGAAAAACATCCAGAAACACTATATCCCGCATTCACTAAGGAATTCATTATCGATAGTATAGACCTAATTCTAAACAATAACACATTTGAATTTGACAACAAAAACTATATCCAAACCCTAGGTGCCGCAATGGGAACAAAAATGGTACCAACATATGCCATCCTAACATTAGCTTACCTAGAGGAAAAACCTCTATTAAAAGATAGAAGAAATATATGGGGAAAATATAAAAACCCACTTCACTAAATTCTGGAAACGATACTTAGATGATTGCTTAATTTTCTGGAAATCCTCATGGGGTGATATTAACCAATTCCATACTCTACGTCAAAACTTATACCCCCAAATCAAATTCACACAAGAATATAATTTCAACGAATTACCATTTTTAGATATACTCATTAGAAATAAAAACAACCACATAATCACAGATATTTACCACAAACCTACAGACACAACAATATCTTCATTTCAGGAGCCATCACCCAAAAAGCTGTCTGAAATCCATCTCCTATTCTCTAGCACGTAGGGCTTGTACTATAGTGACTGACAAACACCTCCGAAAACCCGCCTAGAAGAACTACATAAAACTCTAAAAAAAAAACGAGGCTACCTCACAATACTAATAAGCAAAGGTTTTGAACTTGCAAAAAATTTCCTTTAGACGAACTAAGAAATCCAAAGAAACGTAACGACGAACAAACTCTAGCATATGTTTCAACATGCAACATGAACAATCCAGAATTATTTACAGAAATTGCAAAAAATCTAGACCTACTTAGCAAGAATGACAAACTGAAAAATATACTAAAAACAACCAAAATAATTAAAAGCAAACGACAATCTAAAAACCTAAAACACATACTAACCTCATCCAAATTTAACCAACACACAATACAGGGAGTCACAAAATGCAACAAAAAAAGATGTGGGGTTTGTGACATCATTATAAAAGGAAACTCCGAAACTTTTGAAAACCCCAAAACGACATTCATAATAAATAAAAATTCAAACTGCAACTGCAAAAATGAGATTTATGCACTCAAATGCAGAAAACGCAAGAAATCATATATAGGTATCAGCCAAAAACTAAACAACAGGATCTCCCTACACAAAACAACATAAAATTACCAGACAACAGAAAACTCTTTGTATCACAAAACATCTATAAATGTAACCAGGGTGAATTTCAAATTATGCCAATATACCAAACAGACAATTATTCTTACCTACAAATACAAGAAAAAAACTTCATAAACAAATTTAAACCAGAACTAAATAGATCATAACACCACACGCAAAAGCACACAACATGCACACATAATGGCCAAATACAGTAGTCAAACCACCCGCATCCATGCACACGCGAATATATGTGGAGCACGAATATGTATACACATATTGGCAAAAACAATAGACTGCTCACAGGCACGCGCGCAAACCCTACACAACATAGGAAGTGTGTGAGTGTGTGTGTGTGTGTGTATGAATGTATATATGGATGAATATGTGTGTGTATGTATGTGTATATTAATTCCTTATAATAAGACAGTATGTGAGTATAGAGAGGGAGTGCGCATGTACATGCGCGTACTGGTATATATATACACATATTGACAAAAACAAAACTGCTCACGTGCACGTATGCGAACCCTACACAACATAGGAAGTGTGTGTATATGTGTTTGTATGTATGTGTATATATGTGCATGTGTATGTATGCATATGTGTATACTAATTCCTTATAATAAGACAGTATGTATATATGGAGAGGGAATATATGTATGCGTACGCATGCTGGCAAAAACACAAAAAAATGCAAATAGATCTAAGAACACACAGGGGTCATTAAAAGATAAGAATATAGATATCTTTCTCACCCTTTCTCGGACCAGTCTTAATTGTTTTATTACCATTCACGCAGAATTCTTTCACTTCAAGAAAGACATTTCGATCACTAACACACAAAAAAGAGAATGTCTAATATCGAGAATATTTAACATCGAAAAACATAAGAAAAATTAATCCCCTTTAATAAAATGTGGAAATATCCATTCTTTGCCTGATGAAGGTCGCGAGACCGGAAACACGTGTAGCAAAATTATAAAAAACAAAGCATAATATATTAAAAAAAAAAATACACATTACAACCAAAAACGTTTGCGGTTTCTCTCTTCTTTTTATTATACACACTTTTCTCTTGTTGGAACTACTATAACCTCTTCCCTTTATATATATATATATATATATATATATATATATATATATATATCATTCTGTTCACATCTATCTATCACAGTTTGTTCATATCTATTTATCTAACACTCTCTCTTCCTCGATATATATATATATATATATATCACTCTATTCACATCTATCTATCTATCTGCTGTGTTAATTTTATTTGAAACGGTACGCTTATTATTTTACGAGCAATTTGCTCCGTGTTTCGGTTTTTTTGTTCCAGGAACCAAAAATTCACGGTGGAACATTTCCTTGAACTGGTTTGCTTATTTTCCTTCAAATGTTTATTTCATCTGAGGTAAATCGAACAGGTCGCCTATTTGCCTCAATCCCGACACCCACTCAACCACACCTGATGGCAGGATGTGATGCCTGGGCGGTTTCACGTTGCGTGCCCGTACTCGTACATATGGGGCAGGACAACAATCGCTCCCCAAAAGGGACAGACGGAAACAGCGAGTAACCTGCTTGGTAGAAATGGGTGGCAAAGCAGGGAGCCAGAATGGTAGTACGGAAAAGAAACACTACTAAGAGCTGGAAAAGATAGGAAGTTTTGGAGAGTCATATAAATCCCCGTCCTGAAGGAAGACGGCATATAAAAGTCCCGTGATCACCGTCACGCAGGCGACAGAGTGCTCAAAATGCATCCAATGGTGGAGGTGACGCTACAGAACCTAAATCCCAGGAAACAGGCTTCTCTCATTGGATTTCTATGAACTACCCGAGGTCTGAAGCACATCAGTGAAGTCAACAGACACTACACTTTCAACTGGTAATTACTCTCCCCGCACCACGGTGGCGGGATGCCGACGAGGTCGTTTTAATATGAGGTGACCACATGCGTACATATGGACCAAGACAAAAAATTGCCCAGTTCCCGAGATCACTGTCACCCTGGCGTTGGTACCCACGAAAGCTACCTCTTTAGTACACTGGGAGAGGTGCTGCCACAAGGTTGGAATCCTCGGGAGAAGGCACCTCACATAGCTTTTTTTTCGTGAAACTAACTGAAAACAGAAATACAGCAGAGATGAAGAACAGATACTACATTTTGATCCCAGCTCGAAGCCTGTGAAAAGATTATCTGGTCCGGTATTTACTCGCCCCACAGTGGTAGGATGAGGGGTGCCCATACGCATAAATATGGGCCAATGCCCTAAATTGCCGAGTACACGAGACCATTGTTATACCGGCGTTTGTATCCAGCAAACTTGTCGCTTTAGAGTTGATGAGAGAGTTCTGTCACAGGGTTGGATTCCTCGGGACGAGGCATCTCTCAAAGCTTTCCTGTGAACTGCCCGGACACAAACACGACAGAGAAGTGAATAACAAATATTACACTTTGATCACAGCCCCAGGGCCGGGGAACTGTATTTTGGTGCGAGTATAGATCCTTGGTGGAATTACAGATCCATACGTAAATAACTCTATCATTTTGACGGGTATTATGCATATTTAAAAACTCAGGTGGTCACGAGTAAACTAGGATAGACAAATAGTGATTTTGTTCGGTAGCTTGTAATTTTCTTGTGGTAAAGATAAAAAAGCAGGAAAGAAAAAGTCTCGTTTTCAAATCGTAAAAATTAATCAGAATATTAAAACAAAATGATAAACTGCAGACAGAAAATAATTAAGGTTATTACAAAATTAACAATCTGTGTTACCCCCCCCCAAAAAAAAAAGAAAGAAAGAAAAAAGAAATAAAGAAAAATGAAAGTAAAAACAAAAAGAAAAAATGAAAGAAAAAAGGCAAAAGAAAGAAAAAAGAATAAAAACAAGAAAAATGAAAGAAAAATCAGAAAGAAAAATGAAAGAAAAACAGAAATAAAAAAGGGGAAAAAAAAAGAAGGAAAACGAAACAAAAAAAAAAAAAACCAGAAAGAATAAAAACAAGAAAAATGAAAGAAAAAACAAAAATAAAAAGGAAAAAACAAAAGTAAAAAGAAAGAAAAAAAAGAAAGAATAAAAGCAAGAAAAAAAATGAAAAAAATGAAAGAAAAAACAGAAATAAAAAATAAATACAAGGAAAATGAAAGAAAAAAGGAAAAAGAAAGAAAAAACAAAGAATAAAAGCAAGAAAACAATGAAAGAAAATAAAAAAAAACAGAAATAAAAAAGGAAAAAGAACGAAAAAGAAAGAAAAAGGAAAAGAAAGAAAAATGAAAAAGAAATAATAACAGCAAGAAAAAAAATGAAAGAATAATGAAAGAAAAAACAGAAAGGAAAAAGAAAGGCAAAAGAAAAAGAAAAGAAAGAATAAAAGCAAGAAAAAGTGAAGAAAATGAAAGAAAAACAAATAAGAAAGAAAAAGGAAAATGAAAGAAAAAGAAAGAATAAAAGCAAGAAAAATGTAAGTAAAAAATAAGATAGAAAAAGAAAAAAGAAGGAAAAAAGAAAGAATAAAATCAAGAAAAATGAAAGAAAAACAGAAATAAAAAGAAAACTAAAGAATAAAGAAAGAACAAAAGAAAGAAAAAAGAAAGAAAAAGAAAAAGAAAGAAAAATATGGAAAAAGAAAGAAAAAGAAAGTAAAAAATTTAAAAGAAAAAGATAGAAAATACACAAAAAAGAAAAAAACAGAAAGAAAAATGTAGGATAAAAAAAGTAAAAAAAGAAAAAGAAACAGTAAATGAAAGAAATAACAGAAAGAAAAAATGAAAAAAAAAAAAATGAAAAAGAAAGAAAAAATGGAAAAGAAAGAAAAAAGAAAAAGAAAGTAAATTTGGTCCTAAAATGATTATTGTGACATCCATGAAAGACGTTCTCTCGAGTTGGGTGATGCAGGTCACGGTTCAAGTCTTCTAAATATCACTTTTCCTATTTTTTGCTTTAGCAGTCAAAGTGTGTATCGATCCAAATTGTTATGCTTAAGAAGCAACAATAATACAATGCAGTAAAACTCATAGAGTAAGCCTTATGGCCATAACACGTTGAAACACCAGTTCTCGTACGATAACCGTTAAGCAAAGTCGACCTTAGTCAGTAACTAGATGGGTGACCACTTGGGAATAACTAGTGCTATAAGCTTGGATGTGCAGGTGGTGTTACACATTATGTCAGTTTTTTTTTTTTATATCAGTGGATTTCTATCTTTACACTATTTTATTATTGATAATATTTATCACAAAACACTGAGTCGATGTAATCTTCATTAATCGTCGTCGAACGATTCTGAACGCTTGCTTTATGGTGATGAGCGTTGATGACTAAATTCGACGCCATAATGCAGGTTCAGAACAAAAAGCTTCCAATTTAACCAAAACCTGCTTCCGTCATTCAATTCCCTATTGCCCTTTGTCTCTGCAAGAGTTGATTGGAGGTGGCAAGTTGAGGTCCACCTGAAACAAATTCAGGTCATCGGCACATTCTTCTACTCTGATTTTCTTTCACCTGTAAAAAATATTGTCGACACGGAGAACGCATGGATAAGAAAAATGTGCATAATTTTGTACCCTCAGGGTAAAGGTATGTTTTTGGGATAAATAGTTTGTGTTGTATTCTTAAAAAAGGTTACAAACAGACAAAGGTGGCACTCGAGTGGAAGGGACAGCAACACGGGCGTAGATGGGAGAAAGAGAGGTTTATTATAAAAGAGAATACACTACTGAGAAACAGGGAGTCGATTAACACTTCCTGAAGGCAGTCAGAGAGACGGACACAGGTATGTCCTGTGCGCACTACATATATTACTAATATAGTCAGTCCAGAATAGGTAATAGGGAAAGTGGAACATTCCATTACAACAGTGTGTGTGCATGTGTGCGTGCGTGCGTGTCTGCGTGTGTGTGTTTTAGATAATAGGATTTCGCACAATAGCTTCCACTTGTTGTTTTCGTAATTGCATCAGTTCATCTTGAAAAATGTGATTTTTCAAACTTTTCTTGTTGCTCTAACAACTGTTGCTGTAATTGTTGTTGCTGCTCTTGCCATTGTTGTTGCAATTGTTTTTGTAACTGCAAACTAGTGTGCAACACTTTAGTTAAATCAGCCAGTTGTTCCATTTTTGTTGTGTAATTTCACTGAGTATTTTCAATGTGAGTTGTTCCAATCCGTAATTACTACTGTTGTACGTTTTACAGACAGTGTTTTGGGGTCTTTTTCGCTGTGAATTTGGATCTAATCCTCATCGCCATTGTTGTATCCTTAAAAAGGTTACAAACAGACAAAGGTGGTACTCGAGTTGAATGAACAGCAACACTGGCATAGATAGAAGAAAGAGAGAATACACTACTGAAAGACAGAGAATCGACTAATACGTCCTGAAGCCAGAGCGAACTTGTATGTCCTGTGCACACTGCATATATTGTAAAAGAGAATACACTACTGAGAGACAGGGAATCAACTAACACTTCCCGAAGCCAGTCAGAGAGACGGTATCTAGCAAATGTCCCACGCGGTCACATATGACACAAGGCCGAATTTAATGTGGGGTTCCCCGAGCGCGTAGGCTCGGCTGAAAAATCCCCGTAGACCCCGCATAAACGGGATCGGGTCTGTCTACCTCCCCGGACGAGACGCATAGCCTAGTCCTGGTTCCTCTCTGCTCGAAGGCAGAGAGTTCGATCAGCACAGCTGGTAAAGATTCCAGCTGGACTCAAAAGCCAGTCAGAGAGACAGACAGACTCTGGTATGTCCTGTGCACACTACATATATTACTGATATAGTCAGTCCACAATAGGTAATAGGGAAAGTGGAACATTCCATTACAACAGTTTGTACTTCATAAAGTGTATTGTTGATAATTTTACTATAAAAATGTATTTTTATATTTTTTTTTTGTGTTGCATTGTCATTTTGCCATTGTTGGTCATTTTATTATAAAAATGTACTGTTGACTTATATTTGGGGGTCTACTATTTGCCCATAGCTGTTACTACGACACCAGATCAGGGTGGACCCGGGAAGCAATAGCAGTTAAGAGGTGGTTCTACGCTCCTCAAAACTCCTTCCTGCCGGTTGTAGTTTATCGTTATACTCAGGACGCTATATATAATGGACTCTTCTGCCGGTTAAGACATATGAGGACCGACAGTTTAATATTTTAGAAGTAAACAGTGAGACTACTCACACGAATGATTTGGTTATGATGGTGAAAGTTTGATTTAGAAACGTAACAGTGCTGATTTGATAGTGCTTCATAGAAAAAAAAAACATGATGGAATGAGACGTAAAACACAGGAATTTTAGAAGATATTTTCTAATTAACTATTTCCTAAATCGCAATTGACCTTGTGTTTTTATCTTCTCGTCTGGGTAACATTAATAATTGTTTTATGATGATGTATGTTCGTGCGTTGGTGGAAAAACACGCGTCCGCTGTTAACTTCCATTTATGACAGTGACGTATTAGGTAGCAATTAAAAACAAAAATCATGGGAAATTTTATCCTATTTTTTTTTATTTATGTCTTTATAATCCCAGCCATTGTATCCAGAGTTTTTCTTATTCTTCGCATTAGCGATCATGACTCTTCACGATTTCTTGTCATTTGAAGTTATTTTTTTGTCATTTTTAAAATAATTTTTTGTCATTTTGCTATCTCATTTTTTCTCATTTTGTTATCTCTCCTAAACCATGAGCTGCCATCCATTTACACAAGTTCGTTTGGTATGTCATACTTTGTTTTCCTCCGTCCCTCTTACCTTCAATCTGTCTTGTGAATATCAAATTTTCGAAGCCCACTTTTCTCATTATGTGTCCTAGAAATTTCAACTGTCTCTTTTTGATGTTAAGTATGTGTCCTTTTTGTTTCCATTTTCTCTAAAACTTCGTCGTTGCTCACATGTTTGATCCATAGTATTCTCAGCATCCTTCTGTATAGCGACATTTCTGTTGCTTCAAGTCTCTTCTTCATCTGTGAGGAAATTGTCCAGCATACATTGGTATGTAAGAGTGCTGATATGTAACTGTTCAGTACTCTTTTATGTGTTTTTACCGCAATATTCCTGTTTTTTAATATTTTGCTTCGTTTTCCGATGGTATCTATACCAATGCAGTTTCGGATTTCAGTGTCCCACTTTTCATCCTCCGTTAAAACATTTTCCAGATATCAACATCGTGTCACCTGAATATCTATGTTGTTAAGATAATGGCCGCCAATAATGAACCTTGGGATGAATTCTAATTCTCTCAGAATCGCATGGCTTTATTGGTTGAATAAGTCCAGCGAGAAGATACATCCTTTTCTTACACCACTTTCTGTCTTTGCATACTTACTGAATTCATTTTCTATCTGTATGTAGGCGGTTTGTTGCCAGCATAGGTTCTGGATCATTCTAATATCATTCCCAAATATGTCAACGTTACCTAGGAGTTTTAACAGTTTTTGTGACGTAATTTATCAAAGGCTTGTGGATAATCTGTAAAACATAGGTATACGTCCTTTTGCATTTGTAATGCTCTTTCTGTTAAATCGTGCAGTAAAAATATTTTTGCAGTATGTTAGTGATAAAAATTATTTAAAACTTTAGAACAACGATATTATATCTTTGTATAATTGAGGAATATTCTATATGAAACATGAAGTCAAGACATAAATAATTTTCGTTTTTGTTCATCAATCTCATCTACCTGAAAAAAAAAATGTAAAAAAAGTTAAATTAGATTTTATTGCATTAAATATACGTCATCATTTGCAAAGACTTGTTCTCATTTATCAGGCAGCTCTTCGATACATTCTGAGTAAAAATCCGCGGGTTTTGACGTGAAAAAAAATCGACAAATACTAGAAACTTGTTTCCATTAGAGAAGGCTTTTCCCATATTAAAGCATTTTGCAACAACCGAAAAATGTAATAATCGGTTGATTCAAGGTCATTTGAATGTGACCGACTGAGTTCTTAAATATTTTCCTGTGTTATTCATGCTGTACGCAGCTCTTTTCTTATAGTAAGTATAAAGAGCCACTTTAATTTTAAATAATATATTTATATTTACAATTCAATATTAAACAATAAAGTTATATACTTAAAATTATATGGTTTATGTTAAAATTAAATAATTTATAATTACATATCATTAATTAAAAGTATATATTCTATATTATACGTATATTAAAATTAGATATTTATAATTATATATCACTAATTAAATGCATATATTCTATATTATATATATAATATCATATATCATTGATTAAAAGCCTATATTCTATATTATACGTATATTAAAATTACATATTTATTATTATATATCAATAATTAAATGCATATATTCGATATTATATTCGATATTATATATATATATATATGATATATATTATATATTATATAAATATATATATATATATTAAAATCATATAAGATCAATTAAATGCATATATTCTATATTATATATATTGAAATTATATATTTAAAATTATATATCATTAATTAAAACATATATTCTTAATTATATACATTAAAATTATATATAAATTGCATTATTTGCAGCGATAAAAAAGGTAATAGTCGTATTTTTTAAAGTTTTCCTTAAAAATTATAAAACAGAATAACAATATTAGATCTTTGTATAGTTGGAGAATATTCTCTATTACACACACACACACACACACACACACACACACACACACACACACACACACACACACACACACACACACACACACACACACACATATATATTAAAATTACTTATTTAAAATTATATATCGATATTTAAAAACATATATTCTATATTATATATATTAAAATTATATATCATTACTTAGCAGCATATATTCTATATTATATACATTAAAATTATATATCATTACTTAGCAGCATAAATTCTATATTATATACATTAAAATTATATATCATTACTTAGCAGCATATATTCTATATTATATACATTAAAATTATATATAAATTATATTATTTACAACGATGGAAAAAGGTAATAATCGGAATTTTTTTAAAGTTTTGCTTAAAAATCATTAAATAGGACAACGATATTAGATTTTTGTATAATTGGGGGAGAATCCACCTGGAGCACCATTATCCAGTTGGATACTGTTGGTCTCCTCCAATCAAAGAAAACTTCGTCGACGCTATGTGCAACTACAAGAACACCTTCGCAACTTGTGTGATGCTCGATAAGAGGACCATAACGCTGTGGCAGAATTTCATCGTGGTGTCCTTTGCAATATTCATCTTAATCATTAGCATTAAAAACACTTGATATACATGTAAATATAAATATTTAATATAAATTATAAACATATAAATTAATTGTGACTTTTCCTGTGGCCTTTTTACCTAGTGAAATTGTGACTTTTCTGTGGCATTTTCCTGCGACTGGTATAGTCGCAGGAAAATGCCACAGAAAAGTCACAAAAACATACGTGACCTAAAATAAAGTCACAATTTTCGTGAGGAAAAATGTCCCAGGCAAAAAAAAATCACAATTAATTTATGTTGACTGGTCATAAAGTCATCTATTTCTGTTGGGTGCTTCACGGGTTTATGGGTCCTCTCTGTGTGCAATAGATATTCATAGTGAATCGATCTAACTCCTAAAAAACGTTTTTTTATCAATACCGCGATTATATATTCAGTATATTTCATAGTTAGGAAGTCATAGTGTTTCATAAGACCCGACTTTATATGAAAAAAGTCTCAATTTGATATTAAAATTTGAATTAAAACAACTTTGAATTTTTATTTATGGGACTGGAGGTTAGGATTTTGTCCGCTGGGTTTTTGTCCGCTGTGTGCTGAACTTGTCATGTTTATTTTTCTTTTCCCTGTGTCTTTTTTTTTCACCTGTGACTTTTTTTTTTACCTGGATCCATTTTTTTTGAAGAATGCTGTTGATAAGCAAAAACGGAAATATTTCTGACTTAATACCATCAAAGCAGAAGTTGTGGCTTTGTGTTTCAGCTCAACGGTACAGCATTCTCTCGTAAAACACTCACATTTCGCGGAACAACCATGATCATTTGCGGTTGTCATTGAGACGAAATGAGGCCACCAGAGATCAGATGTCGACTTAGAGCATATACGAGGTCACCTCAGTACGAAATGTTATTAGAAAAAAAAATAATAAATAAATGAATCTTTTTTACTCTTAACAAATAGCGTAGCTTATCGTCCTTCGCCTTCGAACTGAAACACAACTTATCTATTAGGCTTTGTCAAATATTAGTAGTTTTTCATTAACTTGAAACAAGCCACGTCTGACATAAGGTCACTTTTATGACGTAATGAAAAAGAATTTACAAAGCTGATAATTTCCTCCCAGACAGTTTCCTCTTTTTTTAAAAACTTATTCGCCTATCTCTTGATGGTACTTGAATAGACTTTGAAGATGGAAGCCAGAGTATGAATGTTGGTGTAATGACAAAAGAATGCAGCTTTAATTCAACTGAGAATACAAGGTTCGCGTACAGTGTTCTTTTATAGTCCCAGTAAACAGAAATAGCTCACTCAAAGAGGAGATTAACAAAACAAGGGGAGACCACTCTTGATTAATCATAACAGTTGGTACCATTAATGAAGGCCTGAATGATCTTTTTCGTCTCATCATTATTCAGTTGGGAAGACATACTGGGCCTGACACGAAACGATTTTAACCTATTCTCTTTTTAGCTGAATAATAAAGGTTTTTTTTTACGACAAATGGTATCAAGATAACTAAACGTCTTGTCTAAAAATCTGGAAAAAGAAACTCAATTAGTTTAGTGTTTTTATGGGATGGACAATTATCTCATGCTGTTAGACGATTTGGACAATTTTGCTGTTACACCTGGTAAAATAGCATAAAAATAATGGAAATAATACTACTACCTATTCATAAACGTAAATTATATAATTCAACTTAAAATACAATATCTACCTTTTGATATTTTCGAGGTGCTACTATAGTATGATAACTTCTGTTCATTTTCTACTATAGTATGATATCTTCCATCCATTTTCTACTATAGTATGATAACTTCTGTTCATTTTCTACTATAGTATGATATCTTCCATCCATTTTCTACTATAGTATGATATCTTCCATCTATTTTCTACTATTGTATGATAACTTCAGTTCATTTTCTACTATAGTATGATATCTTCCATCCATTTTCTACTATAGTATGATAACTTCTGTTCATTTTCTACTATAGTATGATATCTTCCATCCATTTTCTACTATAGTATGATAACTTCTGTTCATTTTCTACTATAGTATGATATCTTCCATCCATTTTCTACTATAGTATGATATCTTCCATCCATTTTCTACTATAGTATGATATCTTCCATCCATTTTCTACTATAGTATGATAACTTCTGTTCATTTTCTACTATAGTATGATATCTTCCATCCATTTTCTACTATAGTGTGATATCATCCATCCATTTTCTGTGATATCTTCCATCCATTTTCTACTATAGTATGATAACTTCCATCATTTTCTACTATAGTATGATATCTTCCATCCATTTTCTATTATAGTATGATATCTTCCATCCATTTTCTACTATAGTATGATAACTTCTGTTCATTTTCTACTATTGTATGATATCTTCCGTCCATTTTCTACTATAGTGTGATATCTTCCATCCATTTTCTACTATAGTATGATATCTTCCATCTATTTTCTACTATAGTATGATATCTTCCATCCATTTTCTACTATAGTATGATAACTTCTGTTCATTTTCTACTATAGTATGATATTTTCCATCCATTTTCTACTATAGTATGATATCTTCCATCCATTTTCTACTATAGTATGATAACTTCTGTTCATTTTCTACTATAGTATGATATCTTCCATCCATTTTCTACTATACTATATCTTCTATCCATTTTCTACTATAGAAAATCTACCATGCTTTCATTTCGTTTTATATCAAAGTGTCATTATTAGCATTTGACAAGATTATAAAAAGAGAGAAGACGATATAAAAGGGTATAAATGCTTGTTATACTGGAAATAGTTCAAATTATCTATCTATCTATCTATCTATCTATCTATCTATCTATCTATCTAACAGCGTTATCAGATCGATGGTTAAATGGGGCTTCGAGTCTTTGTTTATTGAGCACTCTTCGTTTTAACTTATTACTTAATGAGCCTGCACGTCTTAACAAGCCCCACCTCCCGCCTTCTTCGAACCGCGTGGACTGGCGCTACAGAATCACAAAGAACTGTAACAAATAACAAAAAACAACATCACTTGAGGACTTTCAACCTCAGCAACAACTAAAATGTATAGAAGAGAATAATAACATAATCGAGTTGTTGACATTCCACACTACTTCGAACAAAAGGCTGGGAAGGAAACCCCAGTAACAGTTAGTGAACTTGAGAAACTTATTTTCTTGAAAAAGTTGATTTTAATAAACAGAAAATAGTACCTGCTGCTCGGCCAGTGAATGTCAACTGTTTGCTTATAAGGAAACGACTACTATTTCCGTTGCTACCTATGAAAATGTTGTGGTAGGATCCACCTAATTTGCATAGTGGAGTACCGACCATATAAATATGGTTGGTACCGGGAAGAGAGGGAGGAATCAAGAGATTCAACCCGAGACTCTGCCCGACTGCGACTCAGTCAACACATTCTCCAGGAACGGTCTTACCAGGAATATACAAAAGACTATATGTAAATATTGTGTACACTTTCTTGTTTCAATACATTTTGTTCTAAGTACCTTTTGTGTTGCATTATTATTCCATGCTTATCCAAGTTTCAACATCTTCCATCTATTTTCTACTATAGTATGATAACTTCTGTTCATTTTCTACTATTGTATGATATCTTCCGTCCATTTTCTACTATAGTGTGATATCTATCACCCATTTTCTACTATAGAATGATATCTACCAACCATTTTCTACTATAGTATGATATCTACCATCCATTTTCTACTATACTATATCTTCTATCCATTTTCTACTATAGAATGATATCTTCCATTCATTTTTAGTATGGTATATTTACCAACTGTTTGAAGTATAAAATATGTTAAAAACCATTAAAGGAGTATAATAAACAATTGGTAGTGTAACATTTATACTAGTCAGTTAAAATATTATGTGGCTTTCCAGTAAAAGTTACTGTAGTACTCATCGGGATTTTGTGAACAAAATAATACACTAATTCTAAAATTTCACACATTTTGTAAAAGAATTACATAAATACCTCTTTTATGAATACAAATTAGATAAATACGCTACTCTTTATGTTAAAATAACACCGTATGTAGTTTGAGGAATTAATTGCCGGAAGTGAGTCGTTTGGTAGAGTACATCGTCTTTTACGGTAGGTCCCAAATGCCTCTATAGATATCATACTATAGCAGCACTTTTTTTTCGATACAAATCATTGTATTGATCGCAATCTCAAATCAATACAATCATTCTTATCGAAAGTCCTGACCAGTGAGAAATCATGAAACTCGGAGTTGACATGCGATAAGCATTGCGAACTTTATTAATTCTAATTCATTAATTTTTTTTAAAAGAGTTCATAATCTAAATAAATAAACGGTAAATTCTGTCTGTCTATCCATGTGTCTGAAAACCCTCTAATTCGGGCCACACTTGCCCTACATAGACATATCATAGCTTTTTGGAATCAGGATGATCCCAGGATTGAAAATCTGCCATTCATCTGGTGCTTGAACATCCAACATTGGTATTTGTGCCCGGATAAGGAGGGAACAGTTAAAAATTTAAAAAAATAAACTGTGATTTAAAATTTTTTTTATTGATATTGAGTTTGATGTAACACAAAAACTTTGTGAGTTTAACATCTTTTGTCTTAAATTAGGTTTCAAATATCTCGAGAACATTGTGAATTGAGGAAATCAATACTATTTCTTTCAAATGTTAAGAAATCAGAATTAAAGTGAGAAGTTTCGTGATGTGAAGTTTTCAACTACTGCAGAGTTTGTGATTTGAAGAACTCAGTTTCGACTTGAATTGGAATTTTGGTCCAAACTGGAGTTTTGGTCCAAATCGGACTTTTGGCTCAAATCGGCCTTTTGGCCCAAATCGGACTTTTGGCCCAAATATGACTTTTGGCCCAAATCGAACTTTTGACCAAAATCGGACTTTTGGCCCAAATCGGTCTTTTGGCCGGAATTGGACTTATAGTTCGAATCAGATTTAAAGCGAGGATTTGAAGTTCCATGGAGTGAATTAAGGAATTCAAAGTTTACTTTTGGGCCTACGTACGGACTTTTAAGCTAGTTTCAAATAAATACCGGATGTTTTCTGTATGGAACCAACTGACCATAACTATTACCATTCAGGCCAAAAATTTCCAGAGTATTTTTAACAATTTCTTTTCATTTACTGAAAACAGATTTTTAGTATCTATTCAGGCTTTAGTTTAAAAGAAAGAAAAGAAGAATCAGATCTGGGAGCTATTGCACACATCATTATATTTTTCAGATTAAATCAGTGAATGTATGAAAACAGAAGTCGATTTCAGCCGATAGCAGCCAAAACGATTATTATCCATATTTGTGCCCACCAGGTTGTTTAAAACAAAAGTTTAAACCGCTAATTAAAGAAGGAAGATCCTGTTTATATGTGAGAATGGGTAGCGACGTGTTTATGAGGTCGGCGGTCAACCAATGAAATTGGTTGGGCTTAGTCTGAAAGGAAGTTGAATCAGTTAAACGAAACATGTTAATTTGGATTTGATTTTCCATGCTTTCATTTCGTTTTATATCAAAGTGTCATTATTAGCATTTGACAAGATTATAAAAAGAGAGAAGACGATATAAAAGGGTATAAATGCTTTTTATACTGGAAATAGTTCAAAATTATCTATCTATCTATCTATCTATCTATCTATCTATCTATCTATCTATCTATTACGTTTCTTTCCCTATCTATCTATCTATCTATCTATCTAACAGCGTTCTCAGATCGATGGTTAAATGGGGCTTCGGGTCTTTGTTTATTGAGCACTCTTCGTTTTAACTTAT